TGTTAGCCAGGATGGTCTCGATCTCCTGACCTCGTGATCCACCCTCCTCGGCCTCCCAAAGTGCTGGGATTACAGGCGTGAGCCACCGCGCCCGGCCACTTGCCCAAGCTTTTACAGCAGGAGCGGATGCGATCCTAGCCGTGGCTTCCAGACCCCTGGGCTCCTCACACCTTCCCACATACCCCGCAGGCTGCTGCCAGGGTTGCTGACCCACTCCCTCCTCCCCCTTCCCCTGGAGTCAGTGGTGGGAAGCTTCCCAGGAGAGTCCTCAGCAACCTCTGGAACGCAGGACTTGGCCATGACTGTCTCCCTCCCCTGTGTGGGCCCAGATGGTTGAGGTACATCTAGGGGTTCTCATCCCAGCTAGGCTCAGGTTGGGCAGCCTGAAACAGGATGGGTCTCCTTCTAGAAGTCCCTTTCAGCTAACAATCTGGAACTTGCAATTGACACAGATAGATTCAGGGGTGTAGGCTAGACTTGGCTTCCAGCCTGGGCCCTGTCTGGCGTTCCTGGGCTTCAGTTTCTTCATCTGTACAGTGGCCTCAGGAGGATGGGAGGCCCCACCTGGTAACAGCCTTGTGCCACCCCAGCTGGAGCAGGAGGTGGAGCGGCGGCAGCGGCTCGGGCCGGAGTCAGCGGCTAGGAAAGCCCTCATCGCGAGTTCCTACCACCCAGCACGGCCTGAGGTCTATGACTCACTGCAGGTACCAGCCAGCCAGAGTGCTTGAAGGCCGGTACTGGAAAGAGGAGGTAGCATCCAGGGCTGAGGGGCTGCCTGTCCCATAGCTGGTGTGTTCTGCCCCCAGGATGCAGCTCTGGCCCCCGAGTTTCTGGCCGCGGCTGAGTACAGTGTGTCCCCGGGCGCAGACCTCAAGGGCCTTCTCCAGCGGCTGGAGACAGTATCAGGTGAGGTCCTAGCCCTGAGACCTGGCAGGACCAGGGGATGGCAGCCTGGGAAACCTGGGTGTGGGATACTGGGGTCCCTCCAGCCACCATCTCTGCCTCCAAAAACCAAAGCAGCAGGAGCTGGAAGGGTCAGTGGGACCAGCCTGCCAGGAACAGGACATCTGCATTCATTCAATACCTGCCATGAGCCTGGTATCTTCATTCCTTCCTTCACACCTACCTTCGTGCCCTCATCCAGCAAATAGTAGGTATTTGTGTCAAGTGTGGGACAGCTGGCACACTGAAACAAGGCTGATCCAAGATCTTTTTTTTTTTTTTTT